CCCTTTCCCATGGCTGGGGCAAAATACCTGATACAGCAGCCGTGAGGAAGAACAGTTTATTGGCTTGTGAGGTGTGGCCAGCTGGCTCTAAGATGGGCAGGCCTGGCCAGCAAGTGTGTGGTAGGTGGGAGGAAGGCCGGCAGGAAGCGAGTGAAGGGTGCCCAGGTTCGGGATGTGCCCTCACAGGCCCTGCCTGAGACCGCCTCTCGCCGGCCCTACCTCCTGGCACCACAGTCCGTGCTGAACACGGCATGGGCGACTCATAGTGTAGCACTGAGCTGCACTTCCAGAACCCTGAAACTTGGGGACACTGTGGATCTAAGCTGCAGCGGGGGCAGGGTGTGTGCAGGCAGCCTGCTCTGGAGAGGCTCCGCTCTCAGTACTTTCTTAACTGTTGCAAAATCTGATTCTTTATTTCTACAACTATCAGAAGAAACACGGGGGGAAGGAGGAAATCTGTGTAAGGGCATCTATGCGGAGTCTGTCAGAATGACAAAGTTACTTGCTAATACGTGGCAAGCTCTTCATGGTATATCCCTATCTGTGAATTTTGGGGTGTTCACAGAAATAGGTCGATAGAGTTTAAGTTACATGTACTGTCCTTATAGCTTAAAAAGTAATACAGATAATACAGTAGACTAAAACATTTTTTAAATGCTTAGAGAAAAAGACTAGAACTAAATATTCCCAAATGCTAACAGCATACATTTCCTGTGGATGGTGGAATATAGATAAATTTTTGTTCACTTCTGTGACCTTTCCCTGTTTTCTGTGTTATAGGAAGATAATATTTCGTTCTGGTTGTTAAGGGAAAGCACTGTTTTCATCACGGGGGGCTTGGAGAAGCGTGGCTGTTTGCGGGCAGGCCCCCCACTGGTGGCTGCTGCCCCGCCCCGCCCCCCAGCCGTGCCTGACCCTTCTCTGCCCACACAGGCTGGTGGAGTACCTGCAGGCCATGAGGAATTTTTTCCTAATGGAAGGTGGAGATACCATGTATGACTTCTACACATCAATTTTTGATAAAATAAGAGAAAAGGAACCCTGGCAGAATGTGTCTTTTCTCAACGTCCAGCTCCAGGAAGCAGTCGGACAGCGCTATCCTGAAGACAGTTCGCGGTAAAGTGTGGGAGGCACCTTCTATTTTAAGTAATTGAAGTAAATCATGTGCAAGACATCCTCCGTGAAGTTGTACACTCGCTGTAGCCTCTTGTTAGCCCCAGGGGTTTTATTAACTTTCACAAGTTAGAAGAGCTGGCAAGCTGGCGTGCATGCCCACCCTCCCGCCTGTGTGAGAGGCTGAGGCGGGGGAACTGCATGTGCTCAGGAGTTTGCAGCCCACCTGGGCAACGCAGTCCCAGAGCTGCCTCAGAACAGAGAGAGGAGGAGAATACATCAAGGCAGCGGCTAGCTGCGTGACTTGCCCGCTGAGTGAAGAAGACAGGCAGACGGCGCCCTCTCCTGCCCCTGCAGTCAGCGCCACCTCTGCTCACCCAGGGGGCCTGGCCCTCAGCGTCCCCTCTGCTATGGGCAGGCCCAGTGGGCCAGCTGCGTCTCACAGGAGGAGCACTTTTCTGTCTGACTCCCCTTGCCAGCTCTTGTCCAGGAATGCGCCATGCTTGCCATGTTCTCTCCTACCGTAGTTCTCCTCAGAGCTGGGGGTATTCCCGGCTGCCCCGTGCTGCCTGCCCATGCATGGTGCCTCTCAAGGTGTGGCTGTGCCCTGGGCTGGGGTCTGGAGGGAGGACAGCTTGGCCCCGTCCCCTGCTTAGCCAGGCACCTGACAAAGTCCAGAGCAGGTGCCCACGAAGCACCCGTGAGCCCCACAGTGTCAAACTGAAGAGGTGAGCATTCTGTGCAGTGGAGTGCACCGGCTGATTCATGGCCACACCGCCCGTACCTCTGTGGTTCTCAGGAAGCCCCACTGCATTCCTTCCGTGGTAGGTGTCCAGGCGTGCATGATGCGTGTCCCTGTACGCTGGCCAAGGACTCAACCACTGAGCTGCCCAGGCTGGCCTCAGATTTGTGGTCCACTTGCTGGGATCAGAGGCGTGTGACAGCACTACCACAGCTGCCTCCCGCTACCGCCTTCTGGAACCTCTTTCACCATGGGGAGTAGCGTCCTTGGGGCTGGCCAGATAGCTCAGCAGACTAAAGCGCCTGCTTAGGCACAGTAACCCAGGTTCAAGCCCTGGCAGGCTGTGCCAGCCTTGCCCCCGGCAGTTCAGGCTGGGCATGGTGGCAGACGCACGTAATCCCAGCACTTGGGAGGCTGAAAACAAGCATCACGACGAGTCGGCTCTGTGTAGTGAGACCCTGTAGACCCTGCACTAAATACATTAAAAAAAAAAAAAAGAGTAGCGTCTTTCCTTGCACCCCAGTGGGCCCGTGCTGAGGCCTGCCTGAACACACTGTGCCTCAGGAGGCAGGGCTCTTCCCCATTCCGTGCGTGGCTGTCTGCGGATGCGTGGATCAGTGGGGCAGCGCGGCGTGACTCTTGAGCGGCTGTGGAGGTGGCTGTGCTCGGGGCAGGGTCCCTCGTCTGTCCTCCCTGTCCTTGTCCTGAACCTGCACGAAGTGCTGTTTTTTGTGTAGATTTTACCAAAAATAAGCTGGGATTATAACTTTACCCAACGTTACCAACTTTACCTTTTCTTCTAATTAACTTATTACCATTCATAACTATTTATTTTACAGCTGGCTGGCTTCATTATTTAAAAACTTTGTCCCTCTTTATTTTTTTCTTTTGTATATGCATATGCATACGTGTTTTGATTTTTTGAGACAGGGTCTTGCTATGTAGTTGAGGCTGGCCTTGAACTAAATTTGTAGGCCATCCTGGCCTTGAACGTTGAGGGTTCCTCCTGCCTCAGCCTCCAGAGTGCTAGGATTACAGGTGTCCATCACCACTCAGCCTTCTTGCTTATTTCCAAAACCAAAATCTCATTCTGGAATATATGCTATGAAATACATTTACTAACATATCTGCATTTTATGAAATACAGTATATTTTTATAAATCCTAAAATGCTAATGGTTTTGTATGTAAAGAGTGTATTTTATGTGAACATAAAACTGTCATAAACTAAAACTGGGCTATTTTCACTTAGATTATCTATATCTTTTGAAAATGTTGACACGGCTAAGAAGAAGCTACCTGTTCATGTCCTAGATGGGCTGACCCTGAGCTACAAGGCAGGTGGACTATTTATTCCTTTCCCAAATGCCGCTTGCTGTTAAAGCAAAAACGCACACGTCATTAGTGACTTTCGGATGTTGGTTTTGTCTTCGTAGGTCCCGTGGCCTGTGGACATCGTCATAAGCTTGGAATGCCAAAAGATTTATAACCAAGTGTTCCTTCTCCTTCTGCAAATAAAATGGGCCAAGTACAGTCTGGATGTTTTGCTGTTTGGTGGTGAGGTTTCTTTTCAACTGATAAATTATATTGTAATTTTAGCCCTGAAAAAAGAGCTTGATGTTGATGATTTTTTAAGTGTAAACAAGTAACATGGATTTGCAGCAGAAGTTGTACAGACGCAGGTGCATGAGTGAGATGTGAGGACGCTGAGTAGAGTCAGGCTGCATGCAAGCTTAGTGGGACAGCTGTTCGTAGCTGACGGCGGCCCCCGTTTGGCAGAGCCAGCAGTGCTCGCCTCGCTTGGCCGGGTCCCTGCGCGCCGAGGGCGGGGTTGGGTCCGCGCTGTGCGCCCAGGCTGCTCTTTCCATCTTTGCAGACCTGGCCGACACGGCGGAGAGAGCGCAGCCTAAGCGCGGCCTCACGTGTGAGCAAGACGCAGCGGCCCTGTTCGGAGTGCAGACAGCGCCCGTGAGGCAGCAGATCCACCGCATGTTTCTCCTCAGAGTGAAGCTCATGCACTTTGTGAACAGTCTGCACAACTACATCATGACGAGGGTTGGTGTCAGTGTGGACAGCTGCGTGTGGCAGCGGGCTCAGGATGTGTCTCCAGGCCCGTGTGCTAGTGCACAGCGGTCATTCTGGCACTCAGGAGGCTCAGGCAGGATGATTGCTGGGTTTGAGGCCAGCCCAAACAAAATAAATATATAAAAATAATATATTTACAGATAGAGAGGAGCCATAAAACTGTAACCCTAGATAGACATCCCTAACCCTGAACTCAGTGAAATTATTGGTATTATTAAAATAATAGGGGCTGGGGAGATGGCTCAGTGGAATGGGCGCTTCCCTGGCAAGTGCAAGGGCCTGAGTTCAATCCCCGGTTCACCCCCAAAAAAATAAAAATTAAAAAAATAAAATAAAATAATAGCTGTGGGGCTGGCAAGATAGCTCAGCGGACTAAAGCACCTGCATAGGCAAGTATGGTTTGATCCCGGCACCACATGCCATGCCAGCCCTGCCCCCAGCGCAGGCTGAGCCAGCCAGAGTCCGGGCATAGTGGCACAGGCCTGTAATCCCCGTAATAATAACGATAGCTGTGCCACCCGTGACCATAGCACTCGAAAGGCTGAGGCAGGAGAATTGCCATGAGTTTGAGGCCTCATAGTTCAAGGCCAGCCTGAGCTACTTAAAAAATAAAATAATAGCCAGGTGTGGTGGTGGTGCACACCTGTAGTCCCAGCACTTGAAAGGCTGAGGCAGGAGGATCACTGTGCATTCAAGGCCAGCCTGAACTATATAGTAAGACCCTGTCTCAAAAATTAAATTAAAATGAGAGTTGTCTTCACAATAACTTAGCTTGGTAATTGTTTTAACACAATGCGCTTTGTATGCCATTCGATGGACTTGCCCCTCCTACCTCGAAGCCTGTTAGTCTAGAGTTGGGTGCGCTCCTGGTGTGTGAGTGGCCATCCCAAGGGCTGGCCCTGCGACCGCTGTCGAGCCACAGTGCACCATGTCCAGTCACCTCGCCTGGAGAGGAGGCTTTGCTTACTGTAGGGAGGACGAGAGTAACCGAGAGGTGTGCATCACAAAGGCCCGCACAGAGAATGTGCGCTTACCAAGCTTTCTGTCTTTCTCTTCCAAGATCCTTCACAGCACTGGGCTAGAGTTTCAGCATCAGGTGGAGGAAGCCAAGGATTTGGATCAGCTGATTAAAATCCACTATAGGTACTTGTCCACCATCCACGACCGGTGCTTGCTGAGGGAAAAGGTACATAGTGCTGCTCCCGTGTCTCCGGGGGCGGGAAGCTGGGCAAGAGGGAGTGTCTGCCCTGGGGTGGTTAAGATGCCAGGAGGACCAGGCCTGAGCAGGATGACTGTGTGCCTGACCACTAGCGAAGGTGTAGTAGCTGCACCACACTGGACTTGCTCAGTGAGTCACGCTGCACGTGGGGCTTGACATACGTCCGCCCAGTGTGACTGTATGGAGCCGCTGGCCCCTGCTGTCCTGGTGACGCTCAGTGGTCCTCCCAGGTGGGCAGAGGCCCCAAGATCCCTGGGACTGGGACAGTGCAGGGCCCTGTCCCGAGGGGGCCCAATTGAGAGAAGACGTCACCGCCCTGCTGAGCTGCTGTGCGGCGTCAGGAATTGCCCCAGAGGCTCGATGTCACGGAGCCCATGTTTTGCCTCAACTTCGCTTTCCAGGTCAGCTTTGTGAAAGAAGCCATCATGAAGGTGCTGAACTTGGCCCTCCTGTTTGCGGAAGGGTGGCAGGCTGGCCTGGGCACATGGCAGTGAGTATTCATGTGCGATGCAGGCAGACGCCCTGCCCCAGCCTCCCTCAGAGTCTCCTCAGGCCCTGGCCGCGTACCACACACCACTAATTCGGAATTCAAAATTGAATTTGGGAGATGGGAGTGTAGCTCAGGCAGAGTGCTTGCCTGCCGTGCACGAGGCCTGGGTTTGATGCTCCATACCAGAGAAAAAGAAAAGCTGAATGCTTTCACCTCAGCTGGGTAGCACCAGGAATCGTGCAGTTCCTTTTCTGACTTCATTTTTTATTAGTACATATGTGTCATACATATTGATCCCACTCCTCATAGGGATTTGTGATTTCTTTTAAGAGAGGTAGAATAGTAAGGAAAATCTAGTCTTTTAATTAGGCTAAGATTAGGTTAAGTTAGATTAGATTAGATTACTAGTTCTTGTTGCAGACCCCGGCAGGTATGTGCAGAAGTAGAACCAAAGGGCAAGGGTGTGCCGCTCATTTCCTGTGCTCCCAGGACCCATCCTGGGTCCTGTCAGTTCTCCCCAGCCAGCACTGTGCCTTTTACCTCCCCTGGGGCCGCTCTCAGAAGGAGGGATTCAGACAGGGACAGTTCGCAGTTGCAGGGAGGAAAGCCAGAGGCTTGCTGTGTTGGAGGGCCCGAAGGGCTCG